CAAGCGCGCGCGACCGCCAGCGCGGGCTGCTGGCCCAAAAACCCCGTCAGCACAGCATGCCGCTCCCACGAAGGCCGCGCCCGTGAAGTCCACGGCGGCGAAAGCGCTGCCAGCGCAGGCTATCACCCCGCAGCGGTCTCGGGCAGCTAAGTCGGCTACTTTTGTTCGGTCCACTGGCGCGCTTCGCGTGCCGCTGTCCACGGAGCCGGCGGACGCCGAGTAACGTTGGTCGCCAGGGCCATGGTCGCGGGAACTGCGAGAATCGATTCGCCTCGAGAGTTTGCCGTCAGAAGCGGGCGCGAAAGCAGTCAAGCGGCGCGCTGCGTTCGCAGCCGAGGGAGCTGCTGATCCGGAGTACCGGCCGTCGAGTCGGGGCGACGATGCCGTTTTGATCAGGCTTTTTTACAGGTGCTCTACGAATGCTGGACCCAAAAGAGTGGATGTACCTACCCTTTTCGTTCTTGCGCGTTGCAGCCTGACGCGCTCGGCGGAGCTAGCGCCAAGTCCTACGGAGAGGCGAGCGACGTCGCCCCTCTGGCGATAGACGTTTCGGGCCGCCCTGGAGCCCCATGGCGTCGATTCTGCGCGCGATGCGGGAGGCGTCGCGCACCGCGCGCGGCAGGCGGCCCGGGCAGAGCGGCTGGATGTGGCGAAGTTCCCCTACGCAGCTGTCCCGGAGGACCCGCGCCCCGACCTTGTCAGGATCAAGCGCATCACGCAGGCCCTCGCCGCCTGGGCGGACTTCAGAGCCATGGGCCCCGCCCGTGTCGGACAGAGGCAGCGGTGTCCAGTCGCGTCGAATTGGCGCGGCCCGCGCCGCTCCTCGACGATTTCGGAGCGCCCGCCCAGCTCTGGCCCACGTGCGAACCGCAGTGCAGAGATTTTCCATTGAAGGGCGCACAGATTGCATGCAGACGGATTACGTTTGGTCTGCAAGTCCTCTGCCCGCGCAGATCAGAGACTTCCCCGTTGAAGAGGCGCGGGGGCAGACGCGGCAATTGCATGCGAGAAAGTCGAGGAAAAGTAAGCCGAGCCCAGTGAGAAAGGGAGGCAGGGGCGCGGGATTATGCAGCCTGAGGGGAGGGAGAAAGGATCGCTCTAGAGGCTCCCTTGAGCGATTGCGCAAGGGGTGTGGTTTGCACTAACTTCTACAAGTGGGCCCTTTGATTAAGCGCGACGTGGCAGATCGTCGTCCATTCAATCATTGCCTGTTGCGGCCCTAGGAAACGGCCCTCGGTGACCAGCAGGAATCTTTCTTCGATGGAAGATGGAAGGCGGGGGGGGGGAGGGAGGAAGTTCAAGCAACGGTGCGTTGCAGAAACCATGGGGAAACATGTTCGGCGAGTGTTCAGAACGCAGGATTGCGCATCGATTATACGATAAACAAGCGCGTACTATTTCAATTCAGTGTGTGGGTGTCCTCGGTCGCGTAATTTGGGCTCTCTTCAAGTGCCTCGTGGAACCCTCTCCGGGCGTTTGGTGGGTTTTTTTCGGGCCGTCGTGGGCCACCTTAAAATTTTCGGAATGGTGTTGGGCCGATTCGGGGCACACCTAGACCGTCTCGGAGCCCTCTCGAGGCCCTCTTGGCCCACATTGGGGCCCTCTTGGATCCAGATAAGTCGCGCGGGAGCACGCCCCAGCACGTAGGACCCAAAAGTCCCCAGGACATTGGCGAATGCAGCGCCCGTGTCCTGTAATCTTTAATCATTGACGGTTTTGAGGCTCGGCGAAAAAAATAAGGACATTGTATTGCGTGCCTCAGAGCGCGGAGGCGGCACGACGCAGCTTTTGTCCAATTATCAGAGAAGATTGGAGACGTATCCCCTTCTTCGAAGAAGCAGAAAATTAAATGAGGGTCGCCAAGCGGAGATCGAGAAAGAGAGGGAACAAAAAAGGGGAGACAGAGAAAGAGAGGACAGAGAGGCAGTGGACAAGCGGATCTGTGCATTTCTGTCATACCCTCCCGGGGGGTATGTGTGGCTCCGGCCTTCGGGGCCCTCAAATCCCCGGATCTGTGTTTCAAGATGGTTCGTAGACGGCCTAGGACTCAAGACTGCCCTGGAAACCCCCATCGACGTTCCAGGTCTACCCCTGGGGGGGGGGGGGGGGCGAGAGGCAAACCCACGATTGCACGGATACTTTTTGAAGGAATTGCGAGTTTTCATTGGCTGACCTACCAAATGCCTCCACGACCGTCCCAGGATGGATGGCCCAAAAAGATTCCAAGAGGGCCCCCGCAAACCGCCCCATGACGCGCGAAGAGGCCGCCAAGATGCCCTAAGGGGGGGGGGGGGGGCGTCTGGGGGCCATCTTTCAAGACGGCCCACAAAGCCCCCAACACGCTCAAAAGAAAAACGGCAAAACGCCCTTAATGGTTGTTCCCCGAAAGCCCCAAAAGGCCCCCAAAACATGATCCTAGCCTCCAGGCCCAAGCCTCCCCCGCCCCAGATGGGATGGGTCTCAGGGTCATTCGACCCCCCCCAGATGGGATGGGAGGGGGACGACGACGACGACGACGACGATGACGACGACGACGACGACGACGAGCGACCATGAAGACGACCGCGACGATGACGACAACGACGACGAAGACACCGTCCGCTCCGGTTCTCTGAAGCACCGCAACACCACGCCACACCCAGAGGGGGGCGACGACGGGGAAAACACCGTCGACGATGCTGCTTCTCCTCCTCCATTCGTCAAGTACAGCAGTTCCACGTCATGCCTGGGACGGCGACGCATGTGCCGATGCCGATGCTGACGCTGATGTCGTCGTCGTCCTCCTCTACCTCCTCCTGCTCCTCCTCCTCCTCTTATTTTGGAGGGCCCGGCCACCACCGCCACCGCCACCACCCACCACCCACCACCCACCACCCACCACCCACCACCCCCCACACACAGGGGGAGGAGGGCCGGGCCCAGTACCCACCACCGAACGCCCACGGGAAGACCCCGCCACACCACGCTCACGGAGGGAGGGGGGGGGCCATCGCGCGGGGGGTGGGGGAGGGCCCGATGGCGTCAGCATGACGGGGGGGGGGGGCCAGGCATTGGACCACATATCCCTAAATGCTTCCATGACTTCCCCAAGCCCCAGCCTGCCTCCAGGAGAGATCCAAACGCGCCCCTGGCGCACGGCACCTCTATCCCGCTTAACGCTAGATTCCATCTCAGACATGCAGAACATCAGTGCTCGCGAAACGCGCATCTCGAGGGCACGGTGGCGGTGGCGGTGGCGGTTGCAGATCTCAGAATTGCCACCGCGCCTCAAGGGTATGGTGGCGGATCTCTCCTTACATGATTATGTGATCGTTGTGTTCGTATGGACACATACGTTTGTTTCACGTATCGATGTCATCGAGTGTGGAATCAATCCCTTTACGCATCACGCGCTCTAGCTGGCTGCTACCAGGCTTCAGCGTCAGCGCGAATATGAATGAAGCTGTACCTTCGCGTCGTCATGCCATCGCCCTCTTCGTTATTGCGGACGGGGCTAGGCCGAGGATCAATCCATTCCAGAGCGTTCCGGATCGCTCTCAGAGCGTTCCAGGGCGCTCCGAAAAGGCCGCGGCGCCCGAGGCATCCTCCAGAGCCGCCAGATCTCAGCGATTCTCGATCTATCCACGCCCGAATGTGTCCTCGTCCTGGCTTCGTCTGATTATTCCTCGCCTCTGCCTTTGGTCTCCCACTTCGCCATCCTCCCTCCAGTGTGTTCTGCTCCCCCTCGTCATGCCTACGCTTGGGACGCCGCACCCCTCCTCCGGCTCAGACAACCGCGTTGTGCGATATTTTGCGGCTGATTTCTCTCGCTTTCCGAGACCTTGCGACTTTCCGGTGGGCGCATTTTGCACCTCGTTAGGAGGAGGAGGAGGAGTTTCAGAAAAAAAAAGGTAATACAAATAAGGAGGGGTACGAGGGCGAGGAAGGGTATGAATTCTCTCTCTCTCTCTCTCTCTTTCTGTCTCTCTCCCTCTTTATATTTATTTTCTTATGAATGGCAAGCGGTCGAGCAAGAGACTGCGCGAGCGGTAGGGCGATTTTGAGTTCTCAATCGGTAGTACAGGGCTGTATATTGCAACTCGCACGCAGGAGCACGATCATGATTGAATCACGCTTCGTGCGTCGTGGCCTAAGCGGAAGGGCGCGGACATCACCGCGTTAGGCCGGGCGCGGAGCGCGAAGTCCGATGATGTATCTTTCTCGTGATGCACCGTTATTGTTCGTTTCCACGTTTTTGTTTAAGTGCTGTGTGTCATTTTTCTGGCGAGTGCCGCTTGTTCGCGCTCAAGAGGCGAACGGCTCTTAGCATTATGCGAGGCGACCGATTCATGATGTATGGAGGTGCGGTTGGGGGGATGGATAGGTACTCTCGTTACATTCCGTCGCCTTTTCGTATCCCTTCTTTCTCTCAGGTCCTGTCTCCCTCCTCACGTCACGTTCTCCTCCCCTTTCTCGCCGCCCCCATTTCCCTGACCCTGTGTTCAGCACCTTCAGCCTTGCTGTTATGCCCTCGACGTGTTCTGAAGACAGTTCGTTGTCCCTCTCGATTTGCTATCTTGACTCCTGATGTTTCTCCCCTGCCCAACATGAAAGGACGGCCAGCGATCTTCTATCGCTGTTTGTTTGGTCGAGTGTTTGTCTGAGGGTAAAGCCATGGGCATGTTCGGTAGCAAGTAACGTGAGCTTCTGTACCCTCGCAATTCTGTCGCTAGCGTCGATTAGCGTCTGGGAGTCGATGAGATGGCGCCGATTTAGCGTCGGTTAGCTTCGATTAGCGTCGATTTAGCGTTGATTAACGATTTAGCGTCGACTAGCGTCGTTTCGCAAGAGCTGACAAGATGGTATGGGAGGCTCCCATGAGTTGCCACCGAAGGTATTAGCACTGGAGCACCAGTCCGATGTGTTGCATGGTTGATCGTGTGCCCGCTTTCAGCGCTGTGCCGAACCTTTTCCCGTTGCCCCAGTCGCTGCTTCGCGTCGTGCCACCAGGGGCCGAAGCGATGGCACGCGTTGCTGGCACTCCGCCCATCGAGGACCCGGTGATGGAGAGCAGGCAATATGTAGTTGGCTTTGGAGGGCGTCACCAAGGCGGCCAACTCTTGCATAGATTTTACAGTTGGTTCAGGAGGCTCTGGAAGGAGAGAAGTAAAGTCAGCCCGAATAGTAAGGATGGGCAACCTTCCCAAGGGTGCCCTTGCATTCTTGCCTCCTTGGCCCATCCTTGGCCACTTTTGTTGGCGCGCTCCGCTCGAAGAGCTTCGAAATGGGCGTCCAAGGCCCTTGCATCCTTATCGCGAATCCTGAAGATACGGGCCGACTGTACAACTAGTTCAGGAGGGTCTGGAAGGAGAGACGTAGTGCCGCAGGAGGCGGAAGGATGTAGGGAACATGCGGACGCATCAGGAGCAGCCAGGTGGCGCGTGGCAGGAGCGCAGCAGGAATAGGAGGCATGATATGGGCAAGGCGGCAAGGGTTGGCAGATAGTGCAGCAACGATGCTCAACGTGCCCCTGTTTGCCCTTATCGCCCCAGGAACCCAGCCCCCCACCTATGGTGGACATCGTGGTCGGAGGAATTTGGTATAATGGGTTGAGGAGGGCCAGGAGGAGGAACTGACTAAGACGACGGCCACGTGGAAGTGGGGGGGAGAAGGTAAAGGAGGAAGAGCATGGGTAACAGGCGATTGGGGGGGAGGGAGGATGAGGGAAGGAAGGAGAAAATAATGAAGTATCAGGAGAGCGGAGGAACGACGAGGAGGTATAGGGGTCGATGAACTAGGGGCAGGAGGAAAAGGTTGTCACATGTCTTGGAGAAGGGTGATGCTGTCCCGATTCCCGTATTTCCTCTATCCTTGGCCTTCCTATCCCTATACCCATCCCCTATCCCCTGTCCCTGTTCTTATTTGGGGAGGATGTCGATGCCACCTTCCCCCAATGATCCAAGCACGGCTCAATCTAAGTCTCCGCTGTAGAGCCCATCATTGGCGGGCAGTGTTAACCTTCAGGCGGGCATGTCCATTTACAGGAGAATATTCAAAGCTAGCCTGAAAATTGTCTCGGGACGATGTTTCGATTATTCCTGGCAGTTTTTGCCTACTGTTTTTTCTTCTTCTATTTTTCAATGTTTTTCCGAAGCCCGCCTACAGGAGGGCAGGCCCGACCGCATGCTAGCCCAAAGTGTGAGAGGAGCCTGTGAAGATTGCACCCTCCTCCCACGGGCCGTCAAAAAACACCAACATCGCGGGCTTCCGGCCTACCCGGACCTGGGACCCCACGTCCGACGGCCGTGGAGCACGCTGGCCTCTCCATGGTCAAGCCACCGCAGTGGCGAGCCCCGCTGCGGAGTCGTTCCCCGAAGGCATCGAGCGCGCTGACGCTCGTGGCCCTTTTGCTCGGCAGAGCATCCCCGGCAGGCGGCCGGAAGGTTGCGGACTCCTCCTCCTCCTCCTCTTCCTTCTACCCTCTCCTCCTCCCTCCTCCCTCCTCCCTCCTCCTCCTCCTCCTCGTCCTCCTCCTCCTCCTCCTCCAGCCCACCCCGATTCTCCTCGCTTCAGGCACGACGTCGCCCGCTCAGCCCGCACACTCTCGCCTCAGTGCCACCAGAGGCTCTGGCCATGCAGAAGTGGTGGCCCTGGAGAGTCCATTCGGCAGCACAGTCTCCCAGAGCAGCTTGCAGTGGTTTTGCGAACCTGTACTGATAGGCAACACAGTCGCCCGGATGCAGTGCAACATTGCTGGGAGCACAAGAGCGCGTGCCCCGGGCTGGCTGGAGCGCTTGTGGGCGCGAAAGCAGGAAAGCCCCCCTCCTGGGTAACCTGCGATGTGTGTGGGGGGGGAGCGCCGCAAACTTTGCCGTCCTGCCGAAGGTGCCCGACTGAGGTGGCACCTTGCTGGGGCGCCCGAGGCCGCGCCGCTCGCCCGCAGATCTCGGGTAAGAGCAGCACAGCCGCTCGCGCACTCCGCAAAAACACAGCCCGCACTGCCCCACAGCCGTGCCTCCGAGGGAGGAGGAGGAGGAGGAGGAGGAGGAGGAGGAGGAGGAGGAGGAGGAGGAGGAGGAGGAGGAGGAGGAGGAGGAGGGGAAGCAGGAGGAGGAGGAGGAGGAGGAGGAGGAGGAGGAGGAGGTGCCCTCCCGCGGCCGCGGCCCGCCGAGCGGGAGCTGCGGCGGCACGCCGACCGCGCTGACCCCACCCCGCGCTCGTGCGTCAAAGACCTGGCCCGCCGGCCCCTCGCCCTCCTCGCTGTCCTTCCCCCCGTCGTGGGCTCCCCCCGCCATGCTGCCGGGGAGGTGGTGGGCGCCGCCTGCCATGCTCAGCACCGTGTCGCCGTCCCCGTCCCCGCCGGGGCCCGCGCTGTTCTGCCCCGGCAGGGCAGGCCACCCACCCGGGCGGGGAGGGGCCCCGAGAGCCCGACGGTGACAGCACACATCCCCACCCACCGGGGCCAGTCTTCCAACGGGGCTGAACCCATGCCAGTGGGGATAGTGGGTGCGCGTGCCCATCGATCCGATGCCTTGGTTTTTTGTCCCCGACGTTGACCCCAAGAGGTCAAGAGGTCAAGAGGCCAGAATCCCGCCCTGGCGACCAGCCCTGCAGCCCGAGCTGGTGCTTGACAGTCCTGAGGCCCGGCAAGTGCCCCCAGAGGCCGGGAAAAGTAAACAGGTTCCCGTCGTTATTTCCCCCCGAGGTTGGGAACGTACGGGAGGCCTGCCCGTCAACGCGCGCGCGCGCGAGATGCGTGGCACATCGACGAGTGATCCAGGCCGTCGGTGGAGGGCTGCAAGCGGCAAGGGCCCCCGGAGGCCGAAAATTATCAAACATTGTACGTCGCGCCTTTGTTCGCGACGCTCGCTCCCCCGCACCCCTCCCGCAGGACGACATGTCCCATGGCGAGGAGGAGGAGGAGGTGCCCGCTGGCCTCCCGCCGCAGGCCCCCCCCCCCTCTGGCCTGCCGCCCCACTGCTCCTGCCCCCTGTCAGGGCGTGAATTACTTACTTACCCCCGTTTCGCTTCCAGGCAAAACTAAGTCATACCACGCGCCTCCTCGTCAGGCGGCCTGACCAGTACAGGCCGAGGAGGCGAAGGCGGAGGAGGAGGATGAGAAGGAGGTGGAGGAGGAGGAGGAAGAGGAGGAGGAGGAGGAGGAGTGGGGGAGCACCGAGAGGAATGCGGAGGAGGAGGAGGAGGAGTGGGGAGGAGGAGGAGGAGGAGGAGGAGGAGGAGGAGGAGGAGGAGGAGGAGGAGGAGGAGGAGGAGGAGGAGGAGGAGGAGGAGTGGGGGAGCAGCGAGAGGAAGCGATTAGGAGCAATCAATTCTGGAGGCCTCGGCCCTCGACGGAAATGGAGGGAGAGGGCGGGGAAAAGAAAACCTTTCCGAAAAGTAATGGAAATGGCCTCCCCGGGCCTTGTGGAGAGTTTTCTTTTGGGGCTCTTTTGGGCCCGTCTGGGGGCACCCTCTGGCCGTCCTTAGGCGTTCTTGGGCTGTCCTGTGGGGCTTGGACCGTCTATAGGGGCGCTCCTGCGGAGCCGTCGTGGCGACCCCCCCCCCCTCCTGCAGCGCATCTGCAGAGGGCCCTTCTGGAAAAGCCGCAAACGGGGGATGACATTCTGACCCGGGGCCCACCCCCCCCTGAGGACCCCCCCCCCCGGGACCCTCCCGCCCCCCCCCCTGGTGGGAAAGGGGTCAAAAGGGAGGGGGCTTCCCTTCGACTCAGTGAGAACGCTGTTAATTTTGCTTTGGCTGGGTTGCTTCGTTTCGCTCTGGCTGGCGCGCTTGAGGACGAGGGCCCAGGGAACGAGGGGGGAAGCGGCGACGGACCCAGAAAAGAAGACGAGTACGCGCGAGGACAGCATCCACGACGAACAAACCATTCCACACGCCGACAGGGTCGGCGGATTGCGGTATTGGCAGTCTCTCGGCACAGTGCTTGACATACGTGTGTTGTTGGCATTCGCATGCGCAGTGTGGGCCTCTCCACATTGTTACTGTGATGACATGCAGTCAGGTGACCGCGGAGTATTGCGGTAATGGCGAAGACCCTCACAGGATGCGCATAAGCGTGTGTTGTTGCGGGTCGGCAGTGGTGCTCGTTGGCGCGTTGCTGCTGTGGTGGTCGCATCTTGTCACTATATTGGCAATTCCCGTCGCTAAACTGGCAATTTCCGCGTTCGTGCACGCCCGCAGGCTTGCTTGGGCGCCGCCTGGCACGCCCGCACCCCATCCCCGCCCTCGTTACCGATCCCCCCAACCCCCGCGACCTCGTCACGGACGTTGAGGGGGTGGGATAAGCGAACACGTGTTCCAAATGTCTTCCTGTTCTACCCGAACTCCCCCTTTCTCTTGCTCCTCTCCGTTTGGGGGCACTCTTGGGCGATCCCAGAGCTTCACTTGGGCCTCAGAAGCTCATCGGAAGGCAAAAGGCGAGAAGGCAAGTCACACTCCAGGTCCCTGGGGTTCTGGCTTTTCTGGGGGCGATCTTCGAGGGAGCAGGGGGCCATGACATTTCCAGGATTTTAATCAAGAGCCCCCCAGTTCCGCACGGGCTCTAGAAACGGGGGGCGCCAGATAATGCAGAGTTCATGGAACCTGGAACGTGTCCAGAGCCAATTGCATGATATCACTCTCTTCCCTGATTGTTGCTGGAGCCTGTATTTCTGGAGGGAAGGAAAGAAAATTGGGCGATAACTGCTGTGATCGACCCTCTCCCCCACTACCCCCGAATCACATCACGCTATTTTGCCCCCATTTGCAAACATGTCCCACGGATTATTCGAGGATCTCTTAAGGTCTCTGGTGGCCTCCCACGGTGATGTGACCGGGGGGGCGAACCCGCCCGCGCCTCTCCCGGCGACGCCCGCTTCCGCGAGTCATCGAAAAAACGAGTCATCGAAAAACCGGCTCCTTTTTTCAAGAGGGAGGAGAAGCGATAACAACACCACTAGGGGGCCCACCTCCAGCGAGGACTTCCACACTGCCTCCCCGAGCGGGAGACTGGGGACGTCTCGAGCGAGAGGGGGGGACCACACCACCATGGAGACCCCCCTTGCCTCCGCGCATCTCCTCGCCCTGTTGGTGCTGGTGTCGCCTTTCCTTGTTCCTACTCATCTCTGGCCCTACACCTTAGGCGATGCTTAAGAAAACCTAAGTTTTCGCCCAGAGTCTCGATTATTCGTAACGTTTCAATGTGAATCCTAAGATTTGAATGGAAATTTTGGGTTTTTATTCAAGTTCTGAGACTATGAATTTCTTAACCCATGATTTCTTAAGCATTTCGCAGGGTGTATGCCCATGGTCCTGCCCGTCCTGCTCCCGCCCCCCCCCCCTCGCCCCTCGCTCGAGGCTCCGCCGCCCCTGTTGCCCTCGGACAGACCAGCGGCAGGGCTGGACCTAAACGGTGTCTTGGCGATTTCGCGGGTCGTTCTCGCGCTTCGGCTTCGCTCTGCGGTCGAGGCGGGCCGAAGACAAAAGCGAGGGGGAACGAGGACGAAACGAAAGCGAAAGACACCGTTTAGGTTCGGCCCTGGACACCGTGGAGGGAAAGCGAGGGGAAGCGAAGACAGAAGCGAGGGGAAGCGAAGAGAAAACGGAACGACAGCGACCACACGAGAGCGAAAGCCCCCCCTCGTCGGACGAGGGGAGGGCCAGGGCCGCGGATCGCGGGCCCCTGCTGGGCGGCGAGGGCGTCGGAGGAGCCCCTCTCCTCGCGCGGCGGGCCCCCCTTATTGGGATCGGCAACGCCCCAACATACTTATACTACATGTGCGTCGCCCACCCAGGGGCGACGCGCGCACCGAGAAATCTTATAGTATACGCGTCGCGGCGGGCGCTTCCTGGCCACACCGCTCGGGAAACGATATACTACAAGATGGGTATACTATATGTTCGGGTCGGACGCGCGCCTCCAAGGAGGACATATAGTATTAGTGCGTCCATGTGCGTCCCATGGGACCGGGCACGGTGCCGGGGCGCCCCGCCTCGCTGCGGGGCCCCTGCGTGCCTAAGGAGGCCTCCGCCGGGGGATGGCCGCCTCGGCCCGCCGCTGACCGAGGCGCTGGCCCGGGCGCCACTGCTCGGGGCGGAGAGGGGCGCAGAGAGGGGAGGAGGAGAGGAGGGGGAGAGGAGGAGAGACGAGAAGAGGGGAGGAGAGGAGGGGAGAGGAGAGGAGAGGAGAGGAGAGGAGAGGAGAGGAGGAGAGACGAGGAGGGGAGAGGAGGAGAGAAGAGGTGAGGAGGAGAAAAGGGAAGAGAAGAGGAAAGAAAGGAAGATAAGAGGAAAGGGAAGAGAAGAGAAGAGACGAGAAGGGAGTAGGAGGGTGAGCGAGGGGAAGATGAGGCGGGACGCGCAGGAGGAGGACGATGAAAGGGGCGTGCGGAGTGTGGGTGGAGCGAGGAATGATGATGAGGAGGATGCAGAGGAGGAAAATAAGACCAGCGGGTGGCATGATGAGTTTGACGGGGCGGTGTGGGGGGCGGGGAGAAGGAGGAGGAGGAAGAAAAAACGAGGAGGAGGATGAGGAGGAGGATGAGGAGGAGGAAGAGGAGGAAGAAGAGGAGGAGGACGAATGAGCTGGGACACACATGCGAAGGATAGGGAGGAGGAGGAGGAGGAGGAGGAGGAGGAGGAGGACGAGAAGGATGAGGAGGGCGAGGAGGAATGGGTGAAAGAGGAGCAACGGGAGGAAATGGGACTGGAAGAGGTGGATGGGGGCACGACGAGAACGAGGAGGACGAGAGGAGAGGGCGAGGGGCCGAGCGAGCACGACGACGAGGGCGAGGACGGGAGCGATGCGGAGGCAGGATGCGCCGAAGGAGCGCAAAAGGGGGCGAGGAGGAGAGAGGGAGGAAGACAGTGAGCGTGGGCGGTGGCTCGGCGGCGAGCCCGGGAGGGGGGGGGGGAGAGAAGGGGCGTGGGCAAGCACCTCGGCCCGCCAGCGCTGACCCCCGTCGCGCTCGGCGAAGTCATACTCGGGAAGCTCGCCCGTTGAGCTCCGAAGGGCCTTTTCGGCTGCATACGTAGCATATCGTGCATATATATACATATATATGTGTGAAACGATATATATATATACCTCAACATAACATGTATACGTATATATATGTGAACTTATATATATATATGCAAAACGCAACATCATTGCACATATATATATATATACGCTCACATATATATATATACGTTCACATTTATATCTGCACTTATGTCATCGTTTGTACACGCATATATATAAAACTCCATATACGCATATATATATATATATATATACATATATATATACGTTAATCATAACCATATAATATATATGCGTGTATATATATATATAGATATATGCGTACACTCATGACTACATGTATCTTCACCATCTGCTCCTCTGGTTCGTGCGGCACCCCTTTTCAACCGACCCGCGTGCGTGGCAACGAGGCCGCTTCGCGGCAGGCGTGTCGAATGCCTGCATGATTAAATGCTGGGCATTGTCCCTATGGCGTCCATCCCGGGAAATGTTCGCTTCGCACTGCAGCGCCGCATGTGCAGGGGCGCGAAGAGGGAGAGAGAGACAGCGAGAGAGATATGCGGAGGAGGAGGAGGAGGAGGGAGGATGATGCTGAGGAGGGGGCGGATGAGGATGGGCATGGGGAGGGGGAGGATAAGGGGGAGGTGGGCGGAGGAGGAGGCGGAGGAGGAGGAGGAAAACTAAGATGATGAGGAGGAGTGTTTGTGTTTCCCATCTTCTCGGTTTGCAGCTGACCTACCAAGTGTCCACTTGGCTCGTTATCAGGGTGGTGGTGGCGGCCGCGCCGCCCAATCGTGCCCCGTGAGCCGCCCAATCCTCGCACCTCTTCCCGACGCCGTGTTGGTTCCGTGGGGGCATCATCCCCGCGCGCCCCTCTTCCCAGACGAGCCGCTTCTCGGCGGCGGGCGCGGGGGGGGGGAACGAGAAGGGGCGGGGCCTTCCGGTGCTTCTAAGAAGCCCGTCCGCCTTCTAAGAAGTTCTTCTGTCTTCGGAGAGGGCAGAGGAACCTTCTCAGAAGGCTTCAAGGCTTCTGAGAAGTCCCGCGGCCTTCAGAGAAGGCCTGCCCCTTCTCACTCCCCCCCCCCCCTCGGTCTTCCCGACGCGGTATCCGCGCCCTGTCCCGACGCCCTGCCCGGCGCTGCAATGGCCGACGGGCGGTTCCCCGCGATGAGCGTCTCCGAGCGCTTCCCAGGGGTGGCGGACTACAGCGAGATGATGGAGCGGATCTTCCGCGTGTACGCGTTGCCGCCGCCGCCACGCGGCGCTTCCTTGGCCTTCTACGACCAGCACGGTGCCCAGGCGCTGAGCCGTCACCCCAGCAACCGCCACGACACCGCGGGCGTCAGGACGTTCATCCGCTCCATCGAGGAGCTTGGCGTGGTGTGGCGTGGCACTGTCTATGTGGTTCGGGCGCCGCCCCACGCCGATCACTACATGTTGTTGAATGCGGCCACCCTCGTCGAGGCGCTTTACGCCGCCGACGGCCAGAACGCCAGCGTCCAGGCGGCCCTGGCAGCGGGGCTCCCGCACTTCCGCGAGTTCCACGTGGATGCGCCTCCTGATGTCCTCGCGCACATACAGGATGCGGCGAACGCCATGAGCCTTGGCGGCAGCGGGCCCCCGGACCGGGAGGACGACCGCCCATCGCCGGCCCATCGCTCCACGTGACGCCTCCTGCTGTCGTCGCGTACATACAGGGCGCGGCGAACGCCATGAGCGGCGGCAGCGTGCCCCCGGACCGCGAGGCAGCAGGCGATAGTGGGAGCGATGCTGAGAGCCAGTAGGCTGCGTGAGGGAGTGATGAGGAGGAGCAGAAGACGGAGGATGAGGATGTGGATGAGGAGGAGGAGGATGAGGAGGAGGAGGATGAGGAGGAGGAGGAGGAGGGAATGAGGAGGAGCCTGATGATGAGGAGGCGACCCGCCGATAGAGCGGCTCGGCGCGAGCCCGCGCGGAGCAGATATCTGCATGTGAAACGCGTGCAGCTGGCGCAGCCTCCCCTCTCCCTCTCCTGCCCTCCCCTCTCCCCATCCACCCTTAAGCGTGATGTGCAGCTTCATCCGAGCTTGCCAAGATTGCTGAGTGCTCCACCACTCTTCTGTCCGAATCTTTTCGGAGACCTGGGACATCGAGGGGCCTGCGGCCTATCCCGCCACCGTGCCTGAGTTGTGGATCGCTGGGACTACCTCTCGTGACTCTCTTGGGCCTCTTCTGGAGGCATTTCTCGTTTGGTGTTCGGGCCTCGCCGCGCAGCGGCAGTCGGCCTGGCCCGCGCCGCCGCGGCTGCCAGGCGTTGGCGCAGAGGAGGGTACTGGGAAAGGATGGGAGGATGAGGGATGCGTGGCATCAACTGGAGGCTGATGCCACTTGGAGATCGTCGACTACATTTCGAGAAAGAAGAGACGGAGGGGGGCGGCCGCCACCCCCAGCTGGTGGCACTGGAGGGGGGTGAGCGCCCGCCCTTGCTGGTGATGGCGTGTGGTAGTCTCTTTCTTCTTTCATGAGCATTACAAGTCGATGGAAGCCCGAGGCAGAACTATATCGGATCCATTTTGAGTTGCGCACTGCATTGCACCCTTGCCTCAATACCTTCATCTCCTCCCATATCCCCCCTCCTCCATCCCCCCCCAGCCTACTCCCTCCCTCATCCCCGCGCGCGAGCTGCGGAGGAAAAGGAGGACGACGACGAGGATAAGGCCGTCCGCAGGGGGTCGCTACTCCTGGGTCCCTCCTGGGTCCTCTCGCGGAGTACGTTCCGATAAGAAGTTCGAGCCGAATCCAGCCGCGGCGACGAGGGTTCTCCGGGCTCTCCAGGATGAGCAGCGGCATGCCATGCCGCGAGACCCTTGGGTGAATGAGAAGGCAGGGCGCGTGCTGACGATAAGTCCGAGGCGTGGCCGGCCGTGGCGAAGAGGGCTCTCCAACGATATGCCATACGGCTGCTCTCATGCTGCAGGATCACTAGAGAGTCTAGAGAGGAGAAGGCGGATGATGATGTGTTTCATGTTCAGCTCTCCTCATTCACCCTCCTCCTCGTCTCCTCGTCCTCCTCCCCCCCCCCCTCCTCCTCTCGTCCGCCACTTCAGAGAGACGAGGATAGCACGATGAGCTGAGAGAGTCTAAGAGCAGCAATTCATAAAATGGGCAAGGTATAAAGCTGACCAGGCTTTGCTGGTATCATCATGCATCAAGCGTAGCAGCAGCGTAGCGAGGTGAGAGCTGAGCTGGGATGCGAGGCCGAAGCTGTGCCGCGACGCCCCCCCCTCCCGGGTCCCGGGTCGGCCTTCGAGGAGCCCCGTCGTCGCCGCGGGCGGGCGCGGCTCGGAATATTGATGAGTTAGTTTGGCCTCGGAGTGGTCAAGGGACCGATCGTGAATCGTGCTCAAGCCATTTTGGTTCGGTGGCGCAGGGTGTATTGCCATCCATGTGGCTGTGTGGATGTTTACTCAGCAATGTCATACCTCGCACGGCGGATGTATTTCATGTCCCGGGTGTGCGGCGTCAGGAAGTACAATAACACCTTGGCAATGTCAGTGGACGGCCTGTGCCGATTCCTCAACCAGTTGACCACCGAGGGGGTGATCGATGGCACCGCGGTATGGAACCCTTCTCGGCGGGGGGGGGGCGCGGGGTATATGAGTGGCGGCGCGTCGTAGACTCAGTATTTCTCCTCCCTCCGCCTCGCCCCCTCTTCTCCCATCTCCCGTCCTCCTCCCATCCTCGTTTCTCCCACCTCCCCCTTTCTAGCATCCCTCGCGCCTCTCTCCCGCCCGCGTCGGTTGGAGAGAGGGGGGGCTGCAGCGCGCTGCCTACGGCGTGCTGGCCCCGGGCTTGCACTCGCTCGCCCACGTGGACGCCTTGCTGGCGGCTGGGCGGAATCCCGTGGCGATTGCATCGTTCAAGGAGGCGCCCTTGGGGCCCTTTCTCTCTCTCACTCACTCACTCACTCACTCACTCACTCTCTCTCTAACTCTCTCTCTGTCTCTCTCTCTCTCTATCTTTATCTCACTGCCTCTCTCTCCCTCTCCCTTACTTTCTATATCTCGTTTCCCTCTCCTCATCGCATCGCACTCTATACCTCGCTCGCCTCGTTTCGACGCGGCCGCAGGCGACTGCATGGCTTCAGCGCGAGTTGGGCGTCGTGGTCCCGGAGCCCTTGCCGCCGCCGCCAGCAGCACCGCCGCCGCCCCCGCGGCCCCCAGCGCCAGCAGGCGCGTGGCGACCGATTCACCCCCAAGGATCGAGGATCGAGGATCGGACGTCGTCGTCGGCCCGTCGGCGGCTCGGGAGGGCGCGGACGTTTTGATTCGTGGAGGTCCTTGGCTGGCAATTTGTCGGGCCTCGGGAGGCCCCAGGCCCCAAGCCTCAGGCGGCTTCCCGCGGAGCCTCCGGGGGTCGGACGATGACGACAATGATTCGCTCAGGCCTGGCGCTCGTCCAGGCGCACCGTCCAGTGGCAGAGGCAGACAGCCCCAGGTTGATCGCTGCCAACAAACGCATTGCCGAATTGCAGGGCACGGTGGTTGAGCTCCGCAAGAGGTTGAAGGTGGCTCAGAAGAGAGAGAAGCGGGCCGCGCAGAGGCACGCTCGCGTCTTCGAGGATCAGTCTGAAGAGCTTGCGGCGTTGCAGAATTCAACTGTGCGAACGGGCCGATACTTCACCCTGCACGGCGGCTGCATGATGGCCGCGCGGAGGGTCATATCGAACACCCCTGCGCGTGCCCTCGGACTAGCTCTCGGGACAGATATCGCCACGAAAACGGTGTGCAGATGGGAGGTGCGGTTGCGTGCAGCGCGCGTCGCATCGATGCGCGCATTCATTCGTGGGGGGTACGAGACAATGCTCGGCAACATGACGTTTCGAGCCACCGCGATGCTGAGCGGCCTGAGCGATCATCGGCAGCGGGAGCTCGGCTGGACAGCAGTGGTCCACAACGTTCGCGGGGACGCGACCAACACGCAGGTGGCATTTCGGGGAGGAGACTCTCCTCATTCCTCCGCGGAGAGGGGGAGCAGGGAGGAGGATGAGTAGGACGGGGGAGGAGTAGGATGAGGAGGCGGAGGGCGTGGATACTGGCCGCGGTGCGGAGGGCAAGGAGTATATGGGGTGGGAGTTGGTGGAGGGGGATGATGATGAGGAGGAGGAGAAGGAAGGAGGAGAAGGTTTGGCAGCGTCGGAAGCTGCACGTACTGGAACTACAGTCGACATTCATGGCCGATCCGATCTTCTCGCTGTCCAAGTACGAGACCGTGCGTCACGGTGCCCAGTGTCGCAAGCTGTTAGCTGATATTCAGGTCTGCGTTGGGGGCGTCGGAGGATGGGAATAGGGGGCCCTAATAGGGGGCTTGGTCTCGTTTGCATACATCCCCAGGTCGCGTCCCACGCGTCAGGGCCAGGGACGTTGAGCATGGTGAGGAAGCAGCTCGCTTCCATCGGCCTCGACACCCGCACCAGCTCCTCGTTGCTAGCAGTTTCGTGGGCGCCGAACGTTTCAGAGCTCGCTGCGGTCCGAATTCGCGCTTGGGAGAAGGAGGAGGAGAGGGTGAGGTGGAGGAGGAGGAGTAGGAGTGATGAGGAGGATGAGGAGGAGGGGGAGGGGGAGGACGGCGGAGGAGGAGTGGGGGGGTGAGGAGGATGGGATGATGAGGAGCCTGAGCCAGATGTGATAGGGGAGAAAGGGAGACCCCACCCGTCGGAGGTCGTGCCTGCTGCAGCGCCTGCACCAGCCGCAGCGGCCGCCCTGGCTCCGCTGGCGGTCGGCGACGCCGAGCCCGCGCCTGCAGCTCCCGCGGAGGGCGGTGGCGGCGCCGGGCCAGCGCCTGCAGCGGAGGAGGGTGCGATCGCCGTGCCTGGCGGTCCAGCGCCGGCCACTTGGACGCTCGATCCCCCGGTCGCTACGGCGCTGAGTCGGTGCCTGCAGGTCTGGACATGCTGCACCGACGCGGGGTCTGACGAAACCAAGGCCCATTCGGGCCAATCTCAAACGAGTGTGGGGGTCAGCTCCGATCAGTGGACGCCCGCTCTACCCGACCCCACCTCCTCCTCACCCTCCTCCTCCTAACGAACTCCACTCTCCTCCTCCCGGCCCCCGCTCTACCCGACCCCACCTCCTCCTCTCCTCCTCACCCCCCTCCTCCTAACGAACTCCACTCTCCTCCTCCCGGGCCCCCCCCTCCCCTGCATGCTCCCTCCCCTCTCTCCTCCCCAGAGGCGCGAGAGCTGATCCATGGCAAGATCGCGGGCCAGCCCTCGTCGGTCTTTCTGGAATGCAACTGCGTTGCACACCAATACGCTTTGCTGGTGAAAACGCAACTGTACCATATGGATGATTTCCTTGCGTCCATCGGATCAGGCATCGAGTACTACTGGAGTTCTGTCGCAAAAATAATGCATTCCTGGCGAGCCCAGGCGGTTCGATTGTTCAAGGTATGGAGCCTCCTCTACACAGGACAAAGTGCCATGACCAATGGCTTGCACAAGGTACCCCCCCGGCCAATATCTGGCCGGTGGGGGTCAATCCGAGATTGTGAACGACACATACTCCAATGTGACGAGACATTACTCCGCCAGGTCTTCACTGCCGCTTTCGGCGTTGCCAGGGAGGGCGACGATCTGCGGGACGTGCCGACCACCGGGCTCAATGAGCTCGAGCTCGAGGAGAAGGGGGCTTACCAAGCTAAAATGGGGAAATACGCTACAGACGGGCTAAAGGCCCTTCGGGATGACGGCTTCTGGTTGGCACTCCGGGTATCAGGGCGCCTTCGAGGCCCACTCGATCAGCTCTTGCACTTCACGCAGCAATCCCGCGGAGCCCGCGAGCCGCAGAATTTAGCCCTCTTGGTGTGGGGGCATGCGAACAAGGTAAGGGTCAAGCTTGAGGGCCTCCTCGACCCGAATGCTTGGACCGATATACTCCGAGATGTGCCCGATGGCATTGCCTCCAAGGCCATGATCAGCATCAAGCAGTGCGTGCTGAAGCTTTTGGGTGCGTTCCATATTCGCATTGCCAAACCCGCGGAGGAATTTCCGCAGAGGTTGTTGTGGCTCGCTCGTGGGGCCGCTGATCAGCCATGCGTGGAGCGCCAGAGACTCGCCGCTGAGCTGATGGACTGCACCGACCCAGCGTCCTTGCGCATTTCAGCGGCAACTGTGCGAAAGTTGTTTGGGCCCGAGCTGAAGGACCGCCGCCGATCCCGCCCGATCTTCCATCCCCCCATCCTACCACCTTGGCCACCTTTTCCTCACCCTCATGCTCCTCCCCTCATCTCCTCCTCCTCCTCCTCCGTCCTCCCCTCGTCCTCCTCTCCTCTTCCTCTGCTTCTTCCACCCCTCGCCCACTTCCCCTCCTCCGATCTCCGACCCTTCCTCTTCCACCTTCGCACCTCGCTTCCCGTGGCCTTTCCCCCGTGCCGAGGAGGCGGCCACGAACGGCGGGCGGATTAGCATGGTCGTCTACGCGCCCTTCAGGGTCGCGGCCGAGACCTGGCGTTCGGACACGCAGGAGATCGAGGGGATCAACAACATCCTGCAGGCATGTGCCCCATCTCTGCCACCTCTCGCCGTCGCCCCCCCCCCTCTGCTGCCGCTGCCGCCCAGGTCGGTGCCGACCGCGCACCGAGGATCTCCCTCGCGCTCCTCGATGCCCGGGCGTGCATCCGGAAGGAGTGCGGCCTGGGGTCGCGCGCAGTGGCAAGGCCGAAATGGTCGAACATTGAGCGCCACGTGCAGGCGATCGTCGAGGACGCCGTCCAGTTCATGGGCGAGGGCGACGGCGTGCTGGCCATCAAGGATAGGTGGCTTGAACCGCCCGTGGTGTTGGACGATGCAGCACTCACCCCAGCTCGGCCTGTTGTCGGCCATGTCGACCCCCGCATGAAGGCATGGGCGGCCTCCTACCATATGCATTGGTGGTGGGAGTCCAAGGCGTTGGCGGATGGGGCGGACGCTAGCAAGGGTGACCGCGCGATGGGCTTGGTCATCTTTGGAGGTGAGCAGGACGATGGAGCCACGCTGTCAGGCTGGATGTGCTGCATGACGTACGGCTACGTTGGGGTATTCGTCAAGGTCACCCTGCGCCCTGATGTAGAGATGAAATCCGCGACAGTGGAGATCACGCGGCCCGTGCAGCACATGATCTCCACGGACCTGTTCCAGCGTTTCTACGGTCGGTGCCGCGATGATGGCGCCACGATCGATCTCGTCCATGGAATAGCATGGTACCCCGACAACGGCGACCGCGAGGACCACCCTGCACTATGCGATGTGAAAAGGCTGTATGACTTGCCTCCTCTCGTGAAGGCGCACTGCGTGCAGAGCGGCAAGACCCCCGAGCCGAAGCCCAAGCCCAAGGCCGCCGCCAAGGCCGCAGCAGCGCTGGAAGGTGGCGCGGGCCCAGCTGCGCTGCTTGACGCCGCCCCCGGCGGCCATGCGGCTGCCGCGGCCATCCTGGACGCCGATGCTGGCATGCTTGCGGCCGGCGTGGACGACGGCAGTGAAGTGCTCAGGGCCCTCGAGAGCGGCGCTGCTGAATCGCTGACAGCCAAATTGGATCTGGCATACGCGGCAGGCGCCATCGTCGACGCAGACTTCCAGGCGCAGTTCGACAAAGTCTACAAGGTCATGTTCCCCGACGCCGTGGACCCGTCGAAGGAGGGCCCGACGGCTGACGCCCACTGCATACATGGCATTGGGGTTGCGAAGGACTTGGTGGCCGCAGTGGGCGACGAGGGCATGGACGTCACCACCGCGTACGTCGCCCCCGGCGGCGGGGGCCCTGGCCCTGGAGGTGGCCCTGGCGGCGGGGGCCACTCGTCTGGCGGCGGCGACGAGGTGCATGGATGTGCGGGTTAGAAATCCTCCTCCTCCTCCTCCTCCTCCTCCTCCTCCTCCTCCTCGTCCCCTCTCTCCTCTGGCCCCTCCTGGGGATGTCGTGGGGCCCCTGGCCTCAGGAACGAACCTAGGACTCTGAACGACCTTGAGCTCTCCTCATTCCAAAGATGGATGAGGAGCGAGGAGAAAGGAGGATGGAGGAGGAAGAGGAAAAGGAGGAGGATAAAGCTCCGAGGAGGGAGGAAGTAGGAGGAAGAGGAGAAGGAGGAGGGGCGGAGGAGGATGGAGGAGGAGGGGTGGTGAGGGCCCCCCCCCTCCTCCACCCCTTTCTCCTCCTCCTCCGCCTCCTCATCCCCTTCATCTCCATCCCTCCCCTTTGCCCTTCCCCTCCCCGCCCTCCGCGCCTCCAGGTAGCCGGCGCAGCTGCCAGCGACGCCTGGGTCAGGTGGCGCGACGGCGCCGGGCCAGGCAGCCTGGGGCGGGGGGCGGTCCGAGGGGCCGAGCTCTGCGCAGCTAGAGCAGCCGCCGTTGCTGCGAGGCCGCTTGGCACGCTCAATGTCACTAACGGGGGCAACATCTCAGTCCTGCAGTTCCGCGAAGGAGGTGAGCCTGGGTGCAAGTTTCCCCCCTCATCTCCCTCCTCCGCCTCCTCCTCCTCTCCTCCCTCCTCCTCCTCCTCATCCTCCTCCTCCTCCTCCCCCTCGCTCATCCTCCCTCCTCGTCCTCCTCCCTCCTCCTCCCTCCTCCCTCCTCCCTCCTCCTCCTCCTCCTCCTCCCTCGTCCTCTCCTCCTCCTCCTCCTCCTCCTCCTCCTCCTCCTCCCTCCTCCTCGTCCCTCCTCCTCCTCCTCCTCCTCTCTCCTCCTCCCCTCCTCTCTCTCTCTCTCTCTCTCTCTCTCTCTCTCTCTCTCTCTCTCTCTCTCTCTCGCTCTCCTCCTCCTCCTCCTAGCCCGAGCCCCTGAGGCGATCCGAGTTCAGGGAGGCAGGATACGGATGATGAGGACCTCCTCCTCGTCCTCGTCCCCCTCCCTCCTACTCCACTACGCCCGCCGCAAACTCACCACGCCGCCTGGCGATCCGAGTTCAGGGAGGCAGGATACGGATGATGAGGACCTCCTCCTCGTCCTCGCCCTCCTCCCTCCGACTCCACTACGCCCGCCGTAAACTCACCCCCCCCGCCCCGTCGCACCGTCTCTCCACTCTCCCTTCCCCCTCCTCTGCCCTAGCCCCCCCTCTCGCACTACCTCGCCTTCCCCCTCCCCAAGAGGGGGGTGGCTGAGACGGGAGCACGATTGCATTTTCTTGCAGTTGACGAAGACGGGGAGCCGCTCACCCGGGTGTCCTTGGTGAATTGGTGGGACTCTCTCGCCATTCGTGGTCAAGTGGTAAGGATAGAAGCGGGCAGGGTGTGCTTTTCACCCAGCGGGTGGGTCGGCCCGGGCGGGGCCAAGCCGTATGCCCCTCGAGTCTTTGTCGACCCCGTGCTCGTTCTCCCCGACATCGGGTTCCCCATGCAGAAAGTAGTCAAGACCAAAGCACCGGTCTTGCCTGACGATGTACGAGACCTGATTCGAATGTGGGAGACGGGCCTCTGTGCACATGATGTACTTAGTGCCGACTGCTTGTGGTGCGGGGTTGAGAGTGATGAGCTGCGCCGGTGCCCCCTCTGCATGCACTGCTACCACCCTTCCTGTGCCGATAACGTTGTGAGCTTCGCGGGGGCGCCAGGGTTCGCGTGGCCAGTCCTACACGATTCGCCCGCGCCCCCGTTCCCTGCCCCGGCGATGTGCAGCGTGTGTCGCGCGTGGACGCGCGCTGGCTAGGCTGTATGTGCACGCAATTTAGCTGGGGTTGGACAATGCCATCAGACGCCGGAATGCGCATGCGTCGTCCGACTTCGCCTGCGTTGCCCGGCGAGCGCCAGGGCATGAAATGCGCACGCCTCATCCTGACATTCCTCAGATGTTGTGGTTTCTCTTTAGCGCAGGCCGCTCTCGGGCCTCGGGCTCCCTTCAGGGCACCAATAGGGTTCCAACCTAGTCCCGTAATGCACCGCGGTGCTCCAAAGATCCCCGCGTAGATATCGGGAATGCTTCAAGAGGGCCCCGAGCGAGCGGTCCCGCGAGAGAGAGAGAGGCATCGAGGATGATGATGATGATGAGGAGGAGGAGGAGGAGGATGAGTAGGATGAGGGAGACGACAAGGATAATGATACTGATCAGTATGGGCAATGACGAGGAATAGGCATGATGATGAGTGCGATAACGATAGGTGGAGAAAAAAAGGAATGAGGATGAGGATGAGGAGGAGCGGACTGCCCACCATCAGCACCAACGCCATTGCCCCGATCATCGCCACGTTCGACCGCAGCCGCAGACCAGCACTCGCCCTCACCAGCCCGGCGCCGCTGGCAGCTGCCCCTCCCCGGGCCCCACGTCGCTGCCTCGCCGCCTCGCCGCAGCAGATCGCGCTGCAGGCAATGGCTGAGGTGCGGGGGGGCGGCATATCATTCTGGCAGGCCTCTGAAACTGCGCGCTCTACTCCGGAGGTCCTCCGGAGCAGCGCCGTGCTCATTCTGGCGGAACCCCGGAGCCACTCGCACTCCGGAGGTCCTCCAGAGCAGCACCGGCCAACTCCGGAGGACCTCCGGAGCAGGCCGCTCTACTCTGGAGGTCCTCCGGAGCAGCCCGTGCCTACTCCGGAGGACCTCCGGAGCAGGCCGCTCTACTCCGGAGGTCCTCCCGAGTAGCCCGGGGCCACTCCGGAGGTCCTCCGGAGCAGCTTGGGCTCACTCCGGAGGTCCTCCGGAGCAGCACGCTCTACTCCGGAGGTCCTCCGGAGTCGCGCCGAGCCCGCTCCGGAGGACCTCCGGAGCAGCTCGCTCTACTCCGGAGGTCCTCCGGAGCAGCTCAGGGCCACTCTGGACGTCCTCCGGAGCAGCCCGTGCTCACTCCAGAGGACCCCCGGAGCAGCTCGATCTACTCCGGAGGTCCTCCGGAGCAGCCCGGGCCCTGGGTCCACTCCGGAGGACCTCCGGAGCAGCTATCCTCCGGATCAGCCCGGGCCCACTCTGGGGGACCTCCATAGAACAGTTCGCTCTACTCTGGGAGCGTTGTCGTCGCCGCCGTCGTCTAGGATCGGAGGAGGAGGAGGAGGAGGAGGAAGAGGAGGAGGAGAAGGAGGAGGAGGAGGAGGAGGAGGAGGAAGGAGGAGGAGGAAGGGGCTGGGGTTGTGCGCTGGCTGGGCGGCGTTCTCGAGGCTCGCGTCCCAACGGGGCCCGCCCGGCAGCGCCTGACAGATCTGACGCAATATAGCATGCCATAGCATTACAAAACATACGAACGCATCCCAACACAACATAACATCATACATCATATCTTGCCACGCCATATCATAACGTTGCATACCATAGCGTAACATATCATATCAATGCGCATTGCCATAGCATCATAACATGATCATATCCATGTAACATACCATACCATACCATAACACAACACAGCATACCATAACACTATGTCGTAACATACCATACCATAACATAGCATAACCATTATCATAACATCATATCATGCCATATCATACCATGTACAGAGTATATCATATCAGCAATAACCTTGTGCTCTCAACATCGGCGCGTGGTGCCGCTGGCCAGCCGCCGCCGCCGCCCCGGGCGCCGCAGCGCGTCGGCGTGTGCCGTGGTCTTCGTGATGCTGCTCGTTGGCTTGAGCACTGCTTTGCCAGCATTACCGACTACACCAACGAGTCTGTGCAGAATGGCATCGATTTCACCGCATCCGTTACACCCGGTTTATCTATGCCCACGAGCTTTTCCGGCGTTGGGGCGCCTGAAGTTGCAATGAGTTCGATATCCCTCGGCACTAACTTCTTTAAGGGCGGTCACGTGCCCAACCCGCACAGCGGCCACGCACATCCGCGGCACCTGTTCGCGTTCGACATCGACGAGGCTGCGCGCAGCGAGCTCATGTTGCTGCCGCACCCCCCCGAGCACGTGTTCGGCGACGTCATCGGCTTGATCCGGGACAGCGTGCGTCCTCGCATCTTGGCTAACGCTGGGAGGTTGTCAGCAGACGATTACGAGAGGCTCGTGCTCTCGGACAGATTGGTGCAACCGACGGCATGGTGTTACCGCCACCAGCGCCACTGCTCGTGCCACGCGGCGTTTTTCCACGTCGCGGGCACGCCATGTCCCGACTGGACTTGTGCGTTCGAACCCCCGAGCCCAACCCCTCAGTTGGTTGATTTGATTGCCGCCCTTTGGCAACTCTTTGGGCCTTATGACTCGCGGGCCTTCGGAGATCTTTGTTTGGTTTACGTTTATTGTTGATTGTTGATTGTGCTTGTCCGGAGGAGCCGCTACCAGCGCGAGCACCGTGGACAGGATGGCGATGCCGTTTTGCCTTTCTACACGTGGGCGGCCCAGCGCAGGCTGGTCCAGGAGAAGGGCATCCTGCACGAGAACGTGCCCGGCTTCCCAGTGGAGCTTCTGGAGCGGTTGCTCGGGGGCGCCCCCGGGATTCTGAAATGCTCGCGATTCTTGCGACACCTGAAGTTCAGCCATTATATCCCAAAGATGCAGGCGAAAAGCCAACTCCGGGAAATCCCGCGTGTAAAAAGACAGGGCGCGGGGGAGGCGCGACTAGAGACGGACTCGGGGGAGTAGGGAGAATAGTATTCATATTGGGTAAGTGTGGAGGAGGAGGAGGAGGTGGAGTGCAGCGTTGCTTCAGATGGCCTCAAGAGTACCCCTCAAATTGACAACGCCCCCACGTGCTTGAAACTCGGTGTCTTGCTCAGCTCCCCTATCCCTCCTATCCCCCCTCCTCCTGCCCCCCCATCCTCCCCCTCCTCCTCCTTTTCTCTTCCTCCTCCTAGACCAAAAATTTGCGTTTTCGGGAGATGGCTCCTCCTCCCCCTCCTCCTCTCCCTGCTCCTCCTCCTCCTCCTCCTCCTCCTCCTCCTCTCCTCCTTCTCCTCCTCTCCTCCTCTCCTCCTCCCTCCT